GAGACGCCTCGTCGGTCTGGCGTTGTCTTGTGCCCCTGCCGTGACCAGCATATTCTGCGTTTAAAGTGCGGGGGCTGGACACAAGGGAGTGCCGTGAAGCTCGCTGAGGCCTGCGTTAAGCCGTCGCGTAAGGGACTGGATGTCCTGAGCCGCGTTCGGCGCGGACTCGGCCCCAATCCCAAAGTCAAAGCTGCGCTGTAACAGGCGTCGCCTGTGTCCCAGCTCAATGTTTCTACAGAGGCGGACGGTAAGCCCGAGTTGTGCGTGACCTCAGTTCCACGAGCGTTTTCGGACTCTCCCTCGGCCCCCGCGCTCGAGCAGCGCATGGCGGCACTTGTCGCCAGGATCAAAGCTAAAGAAGAGGCTAGAGCTTCAGGGGCGAAGTAACTCGGGTCGGTCCCCATCCCAAGCTTTTGGTGCTGTCGCCTCCCGACCTTTCAGGGCGCTGTCCATCCATCGTAGGGGGTTCCACTAACGACCCAAGAGGCAGGGACGGTATGGCGCTTCGGTTGCTGTTTTGCACACCCGCACGTTCTGTTGCCCAGTAGGGGAGCTTCACCGACGGCCCCAGAGGCAGGGTTCAAATGCCGCTTGAAGCAAATGTTGACACACTCCTCATAACGCATCGTGGCCCTATATGGGGCTCCATCGAAAATGCCCCAATGACAGGGCCCGCATGGCACTTCGGTTGCATTTTTGCACACCCGCACGTTTTGTTGCCCATTAGGGGAGCTTCACCGACGGGCCCCGGAGGCAGGGTTCGCCTGCCGCCTGAAACAAATATTGACACATTCCTCATAACGCATCGTGGCCCCATACGGGGCTCCATCGAAAAAGGCCCCAGTGGCAGGGACCGAATGGCGCTCCGGTTGCATTTTTGCACACCCGCACGTTTTGTTGCCCAGTAAGGGAGCTTCACCGACAGCCTCAGAGGCAGGGTTCGCATGCCGCCTGAAGCACATGTTGGCGCATTCCTCATAATGCATCGTGGCCCTATACGGAGCTCCATCGAAAACTCCAGTGGCAGGGCCCGCATGGCGCTTCGGGTGCATGTCGAACCCCCCCGACGAGGTTTTGTGTAACCTCATCCCCCGGATAAGAAAGGATACCCCCTTCGTAACCCTTTCAGTCCAGTCCAGAAGCTTCGCGCCAGCCACAGCGCGTGAACAATCAGTGAACATGTGCACGGAAGCGGATGCCTTCAGCACGCCTCCCATGCCTTGACCGCTTGCTCTCACCTGCGAACTGCACCGCCCTGTCGGCGGAAGTAGTCAGCAAGTCGCTCATGTGAGCCAACGACATTCAAACAATTCTTTAGCACCATGGGCCCCCAAAGTTGTCTCGGGCGACCTCTTCTCCTTGTCCCAAGGATGCTCTTGACAACAAAACCGCCCGGCTCAAACACCGAGCTTCTGACTGGATCCTCGTCTTGCCTTCTGGCTGAATGGCCCATGTGTAATATCTGTGTACGCGCGAGACAATCGCTCAGAGGCATCTGTCGGCAACTCTGCAAAACTGTATGATTCGACACACGACTGATGTATGACGGGGAGATTCTGCAAATTCGTCTGAGACATGCTTCTGGAACCTGTCGAACCGTCTTCTCTCGGCCTGGTTAAGGCACGCAGTGAATAATACATACGTGTGTTTGGAAACCACTCAAGCGTGAAATAGAAGCAGTTGCTGTCTCCTACTGAAAGTCGAATGCGACCATATCCTTGCAAGCACCTTGAAATCACGTCTGGTTGCCCCAATTCTCTGACTCAGTTCTGTGCCGATGCGCCCGTCCGCAGCAAGAGACGTCCCGAGATAAGTCAGTGACTGCTTCGCTGGGATGGGGACCTCGTTGCGTCCTGAAATATCTGCTTCAGTCCTCACATTCATGAGTTCCAATTTGCCCCAATTGAACTATACAACCCGTAATGGCCCCTGCACTCCTCAATGCAGCGCATCAGCTCTTGAACAAGGTCCGGGTCAGAGTCTATGAGTAATGTGTCGTCCGCGTACACCAGCTCCCTCGCAAACCGACTTTCAGGTATCGGTCCAGCAGGACTGAAGCAGGGCGTGCGCGTCCGTGAGAAGCGTCGTCATCACAATGGTGAACACGATAGGGGAAGTGGACAGCCCTGGCACATACCGTACCTCTGCTGATGCACGCTGGACGTAGCCCCGAAATTCCTCACAACGAACCTGCGCTCGCTGTAAATCGACATGACGACGTCCACGAAACCTTCTGGGCAGCCAAATCTCCGCAACGATCTGGCGAGCGCGTCCGGCGAGACCGAATCGAACGCCTTGGCCCAGTCAAGTGCCAGGAACAAGCGACTTGCATCTCGCGTTGACCACGTGTCGTCCAACATCCGGCGGGCGAGGAACACTGCGTCTGCCCTGCCCCTCCCCGAGCGGAACCCGGATTGGGTTCGCCAGACCAGATGCGGTCTTCGGCCCCCGACTGCTTAAGCCTTTGGAGCAGGATGACCGCGATCAATGTGTAGCCGATGGGAGAGATGTTGATGGGGCGGTAGTTCTCGCATTCAGCAGGGTCGCCTTTCTTGAACAACATCGACACCCTCGCATGCCTCCAAGCTTCTGGGATCTTTCCCTGATAGCTCGGGAGACCTCCCGCGTCGCTCGCCGCTGCTTTCCAAATTTCGGGCGGCACCCCGTCAATACCAGAAGCGCGTCCACGCTACAATTTCGCAGCTGCGGTCCTCACCTCTTCCACTGTGATATCGCCCATGAAGATGGGCAGGTCGCTGTCCGCAATAGAGGCGTCAGCTGACGGTGGCACTGACGTATGTCTGACTGCCCACTGCACCCTCTCGAGGTAGTCGGCCAGAGTCTCAGCGTGCTGGTCCGTGTCCACCATGCCCTTGTTGACGTCACGAAGCCTGCCCTGTTTGCGGACAGGGCCTTTCCGGAGCCTCCGAATTTGGCTGGGCAATTGTCATGATATCCCCGGGGTGCGGCGGGGGCGGCGAGGCCGAACTTGATTATCTCCAGGCCAAGTACCAACCGTAGCTGGCATCTTGGAATCATGGGAGTAGCAGTATGACCAGTAGCATCATCAACGTCGTATTATCATATCCTACTAGTTCACAGGTTCGCGCTCCCTCCACCCCTCCAAGGAAACCCCGCCTGAGCGAGCAGGGTACCGCGAGCCGTACACTGTACACCCGTACATCCGAGTTGCCGGCACCCCATGCGCCAGCCCTCCCTCTTCTTAGCCGCCCTTTCTCCGGCTCGCCCGAGTTTTCTTTGGCCCTGCGGGGAGGGCGGCGACGGCACGAGGATGTGCATGCGCGCGCGACGAGGAGGATCGCGAGACGACTCTCGGAGGAGGAGGAAGAGACGGCGCCAGCAGGGGCGGGGTGAGGAAGAGGAGGAGAAGGGCGACGAGGAGAAGGGTGCGGCGCGAGGCTTCCTTCGGGTCGGCTCGGCCGTCCTCGAAGTGCTGACGCAGGCTGCCAGGTCTCTGTCCGCCAGGCGAGTACCGCACGCCACGGGCGCTGACAGGGCGAGGAGCGCTCGAGGAGCAGCCAGAGGCTCAGGCTCGGTCGGCCCCCCCCCGTGGACGAGCAGGACGTCTTCATGGCCTCTTGCGCGCGGGCGTGCCACGGCTTCCGCCAGCACGGGGGGGTGTTGCTCTCGTCTCAGTCGCCCGCGGGGGCGCATGGACAGCTCGCGCATCGCGCGCTGCGGTCTGAGCCCGCGCGTCTGCCATGCTCAGCGAGTGCGTGGCGAGGATTCGCTGGCGCGACGCTCGCCGCGCACCGCGCATCGCGAGGCACGGTGCGCGAAGCCGGGTGACGCAGCTTGGTGCCGTCCTGGCATCTTTCGGCGGCGGAGGGGGCTCGGGCAGGGGTGGGCAGGTCTTACGCACAGTCGGACAGAGGTACAAGGTCGAGGTCAGTTCGGGCAGGATATTCTTGTTGTTGTTGGATATTATTGTGCATCCCGGGGGAGGGTACCCCCGAATGTTCTTCATGTTTGCCAGCGGAGGCTCCCCTGATTTGCCACCGCAAACCCTGGAGGCCTCCCAGATGGGGTTCGAGTAGTTGGGGTCGGAGGATGGCGCCGCATCGCCGGGTCTCATGTTTTTGAAGCATATTCTTCTGGCCTAGGTCCGACTGTGTACGGCGTTCTTGAGCTAGGATGCAGCAGTGTCTTGTGTTGTTGTGAGGTCAGGGTCCCCTTCAGTCTTCAGTTTCTGGCTCATGCTCTCCTGTCTGCTGCCCCTCAGCGAGGGCAGCTCTGGGCTTTGGACTCGGTAAGCCCATCCAGTCGGTATCCCCATGTCCTTTCCCCTCCCTCCTGTCTTGAAGAGCATTTCCCAAGACGTCACTTCTCTTTCCTCACCAATGTCCGACATGCGCCCCCGCACATCCCCGCACGGAGGAGGGTATGTTCAACATCCACCTCGTGCCTCCCCTGCCCCGCAGGAGTGAGGAAAACAGTTAGAGCAGCAGGGAGGGTGGATGAACAAGAAGGTGGACCTGGATGAATGTTAGATTGCTACCCGCGCTTCACCTGCTGCTTCTCCTCGCGCCCCGCTCCTTGCCCGTAACTCCTCCGCCGTGCCGCAGCCCGCATCCTGGCGCTCGTGGGGCAAGGCGAGGGCAGCGGGCACACGGTTCGTGCCTCACATCCTATTTTTTTGACGCCTCCTCCTGTTCCTCCTGCTCTTCTCCGCGCTCGTTCTTCTCGCGAGTATCCATGCATCTTCCTCCTCCTCTTCACGCTCCTCCCCGCTGATGCTTCTCCCTCCGCAGTGGTGTGCCTGTCGCCAGCCTGACATTGGCTGGCATTCCGAGGCGCCTGAACGTGGAGCTCAAACATTCCTTGATCTAGATGCTCCTATGAGTGCGAGCACGTCCGCGGAGCGAGGGCTCGTGTGGAGGCCACGTCGTGGTGACCCCAGGCCTGTTCGTTTCATTCGCTCGACCCTCCGACTACGACTCTGGCCGGCGACAGGGTGCCGACGGCCTTCGATCGACGAGGGCGCCGGCGACGACCGCCTTCTCAAGGGGCAGACGGGCGTCCTGGTTGACGACCGCCCCGACCGCGACAGTGGGCTATGGCTCCCCCGCCCAGCCTACGCCGGTGTTGTCGTTGTCCTCGTTTGTTCTCAGCATCTTCGTACTCTGGGTTTCTGAATAAGCGTGGGGGGGTAACCCTCCCGACGGGGGTCAACCTCCTCTCGTCGTCGCGCCGCGATGGGGGTCGGAGCGCCTTCGGCGCGCGGTGGCTGCCCGCGACGGGGGTCGTTGTGGGGCTGTCAGCGGGGGTGACGCCCCCCGAGGCTTACTAAGAAACTCGGAGTAGGTTGGCCTCTGAAGTTGTTGCCTGCTTTGGGCCTTCAGTTGGGCCTCGTCTCCGCGGCCGCGCGACCGCCTCGAGATCTTGGTCAGGGCGCACTCTGCGGGGCAGGTCCTGGCCCACGTCGTCGTCGTTGTCGCTTTCGTCATCGTCAGAGGCGGAGTGCGGAAGCGGAGGAGATTTTGAGGGGCGGAGGCGGAAGAGGAGGAGGACGAGCGAGAGCAGAAGGAGGAGAAGCATGGAGAAGGGAGGAAAGGGGAGGAGAGACAAACATACGACGGATATAGAAGGAGCAGGTGAGACAGGAGTGGGATGTAGGGGTGGTGGCAGCAGCACCACCACCAGGCAGAGGTAGCAAAGGACGCAGATCAACAGGACTAGAAGTAGAAAGGGGGCCCGACGCGTGTGCGTGTGTTGTGGATGCCCGCTGTGCTCCTCTTGCGCCCGGGTCCCAAGGCCCTTGGCCCCAGACAGTCGCACATGTGTTTCTCCTGTCGATTCTCTTCCATCTTCCCTTCTCCTCCGTTTTCTCGTCCTCCACGTCGCCCCCCGCTCCCATTCGTCGCGCTTCCGTAGCCATTTTGGCTCGAGGTTGTGAGTTCCCTTGCGACGCAAATGGGTACCACTATTCCGCGGCTAGACCTCCGTCCTTCGCCTGGTCCGCCCCAGGCTGATTGCTGCGTGGTCCGCCCCACGTGGCACGTCTTTCCTCCTTGCCACGGCCAGGCCGAGCGCGCGCCCGTGGCTACATTTCTCGTCGTGGTGCCAGCCCCGTTGCTGAAGTCACCCCAGTCGTCGGTTGATTCTAGGCCTCCTAGATGGGGTCGGAGTAGATGGGGTCGGAGGATCGCGCCGCACCTCCGATGCATCGACGATGCGGCTCGATGCAGAGCCCGATGTTCTCCACGCCGCTGTCGCCGATGCGTCGCCGATGTCCGATGTCGGCAATGCATCGACGATGCTTCGGCGATGCATTGTCGATGCGGCGCGATCCTCCAACCCCATCTACGCCGACCCCATCAGGAGGCCTGGAGGCCTGTAGAAGCAAGCCCTGTCGACGGTTGATGAGGAATGGGAGTGCTTTGTCGCGAAGGCAGACAGCAGAGTGGGCACGTCCGAGAAGAAAACATCCTCTTGTGGGACGCCGATGCAGTCAGGGGCCAACGTCTGTCGGGAGTGCAGGATGTGGAGTCCAAGCCAATTCTGGGAGTTCGGAAACTGTCGTGGTCGAGGATCCCAGGCTGATGATGAGGCGGCTGCCCTTTTCAAGAATCCAGGTGTTGAGGTCGCGCCGATGCCTTCTGATCGGCCCAAGCTCCCCGAGTCGGAGATATCCGCGGCGGCAGCCGCAAAAAGGTCGGCCCACAAGGCTCTTGGCATTGCATGACGAGCTCAAAGCACAGCAATATTTCAAAGACGCCCAGCAGAAGGTCGACGCGTGCTTGCGCAATGAGCGCCAGGCCCAGGGGAACTTGGAAGGGGCGGCGAAGCGTCACGCCCAGGAGTTAGGTGCTACCCACAGGCCTGGGCCAGGAGTCTCCACTTCCCAGCAAGCTGTGGTCCACATCGAGGCCCTCCTGGCGGACCCTGAATCACTGGTGTTGGACGTCGGCGAGGTGGTGGATCTGACGGGCCCGGGGCTCAACCCAGGATCGAACTCAGTTCGATGGCCGGGCTTCTTCACACAAAGAGAATTGCACCGAGTAGTCGACGAAGGTTTTCGAATCCGCGCAGTCCGAGGCCAAGAAAATGCAGGCAGAGCGTTCAAGGCAGACCGAGATGTTGGCCAAGAGACGCAAAGTCAGGCGTGACGGCTGCTGGAACGTGCAAGAAGGCGGCCGCGTCTTTGTTGCTGCTGCTGCTGCTGCTGCTGTTGCTGTTTCTGCTGCACGGGTTCGGGCTTGCAGAGTGCGGGCGGAGGCGCGCGCCAGCCTGGGACCCAGGCCGCGGCCCCTGGAGCTTTGCCGACCCACAAGGTCGGCGAGGCCCCGTGTAGGCCAGTGCCTCAGACCGAGGGCGTGGTCCTCGACGAATCTCAGGAACGCAATGCTGCTGCCCTCGAGGCGGCGAAGGTCAGGGCCGCAACTGCTGAGGCCAAGTGCGCCCCGGTCCTGACGGTCCCACTTCGATTTTTGGCAAAATCATCGCCTTTGGGCCCCGGGCCGAGAAGTGATTGAAGGAATGCAGTTCTTACGCCGTGATATGTGTGGAGACGCGCGCCCGTCACACCAGGTTTTATGATATGCTGGAATGCGTTGGCAATTTCGGATGGTGCTCAGTCGGCGGCGAGGCGGACAACGGAAGCAGAGGACTGAAGTACGGTACCTGGAATCTTGGCCAGAGAGCACCTTTGTTCGTGGAGGCATCGGGTCTGTTTTTGTTGGAAAGCTGTATTCGATTTGGTATGTTGTCTTTATTCGTCTCGCGCAGGTGACTCTGACGTTGGTGCCTCTCGATCTTATATCATCAGAACGGTTTTCTTGTGTTTCTCGCAACCTCAGTCAGTTTTCCGAGATTGGTGCCAGTTTTTCGCGCGCGGCGGTTGGCAGATGGGGAAGTTTGATCTTGCGACTTCTGGCTTCATGCACGAGCTGGAGCTCGTGAGGTGTCCGACTAGCGAGGCGTCAGTGCATTGCGCTGGGGGGCGAGGTGTTGCCAGCGAGATCGACCGCTCCATGGCATGGTGATGGAAGTGGAATCGTAGCGGGATGTGGCCCGGCAGTTTCCTGGGCGCGCTTGCGTCTGCAGGGGCCCCTGGAACCCGACGACAAGGCGACCCCGGGGTTGCGTTTGCGGGAGTAGGTTGATGATATCCGTCTGCCTCGGGGTGTCTTGCCCCAGTGTGCTGCGAGATGCCCCCCGTGGCCTTTGCAGGTGGAAATGCGCGGTGGCGCTTCCCAAGTGTTATGTGATGGCCTCTTCCGCTTCTCTCCGCCATCCCCTGGGAGGCCCGGCCGCCGCGACCAGGGGAAACGCTCCGCTGGGAGCGCCCAGGTCGGTGAAAAATGGCAGGCTAGGCATCTGACAGGCTGTCGGGCGGCGTTCAATTTTCAGGCATGGCTCGCGCATCGCAGGTCATCGGGGCATTTCCCGCCCCGCGCATTTCCGCGCGCCGCCCGGTCCCCTGAGGCCCGCGGCCTGGCTCAGTAAGTGACCTCGGAGAGGCACCTGTGCAACCGCGGCTGACATAATTAGTTTGGGATCGAGTCGTGTCCCAGCGGTCGCGCGCGCCAGGCGTCTTGCCAGTTCTTGGCTCAGTCGTGTTTTTCGGCCCCCGCGGCAAGGTGCGCGCGCCGCCGACAAATTGTTCTGTGTCTTTGGGGCGTGTGAAAGATAGGTTGGGATCTAGTTCGAAAGCGTCTTCCGGAAGCTCTGGGGGCCTCTGTCGAAGCTTCGGTTTGTGAGGAAATGGCGAAGCGCCTGCGCGGAGCAGGCGCAGCGGCTGGCGTCCGGCGGCAGCGCGTCGTTTCTTTGCGGCTAAAATGCATGCTGGGGAACAGCCATTGCGGGGCGCGTGATCCGTCGCATAGCGCGCGGCGGCTATTGGGCTGAGCGGCGAAGATTCGACGCCAGCTACCGCGCTGACCCAGACTGCAAGATATGTAATGCCACGGCCGAAGCCGGCGCCCGCCGTTCCTGGAGTTGTCAGCGTAGCAGTTGCGATCAAACGTCGGCCTTGCAAGTCGGTGCCTGGCCCCCCCCCCACTTGAAATCGTGGGCGCCAAGTGATTCCAGAGGCCCTCCAGACTTTAAGGGTAGCTCTTTGGGAGATGTTACAGCATCGGGAGCATAGCTCGCGCGCCGCTGCCTTGGGCTCAAGGCACGCGCGCCCTATTTGCCCGGACACCGCGAGTGTTCGCTATGTGCTGGAAAGATCATTACATCGATCTTATCCTATCTTATCCGCCCACCCCTCATACTGTACCTTCACAGCTACAGCAGAGCGATGGACGCTATTTGCCATCCGATGTCCACGGTCAGCGCCTTGGAATCGGATGCTATATGACAGGCTATATGCCCTATTTGAGTTACCAAGCTCACTTTCGACTTGGTAGCGGAGCTGGCCGCACTCTCGTGTGGTCAGCTCTTGATCTTCTCAGCCTCACATTCTTCGGCACGATCTTCGTGACCGCCTACTACCCTGCGCCACCACTCCCAGTACATTTACGAGGATCTATTCAAGAGCAAGAAGCTACACGAGAGGTACGACGTCTAGACGACCAGATTGGTACCATATACGCTTCATCATTGCGTTACTATCAACCGCTCGGCAACGAGCCAATAACGCAATGCCTGAAGCAAGGGCGGGGAAACCCGCCAGACAGAGCGCCTCGAAGACTCGACAAGGCGCTACCCCAGCGTGACACCGCTCATCATAACCATTCTTCGTTACACATTATTGGGCTAATCGTTTTCGCTATCATATGGTTCGCGCTGGGGGCAGCAATCGCACACATGCGTCGGGGAGATAACAGCACCGATGGGCAAACACATGGCCCATACTGGGACCCTCAGGGTAATGTACCTTTTCGTGAGTACATTTACGAGGTCAACGCGTGGCTCAACGTTACAAGCGGACGTATGACGCCACAGGCCCAAGCGGCCGCAATACAACGCGGCCTGGGAGGCCTAGCGAGGACACTCGCCATGAGGGTACCGCCTGACATTATAAACTATGGTGCTGACATTGATGGGGTCCACACGGACCCAGTAACTTACATCATGTTCCTCCTCAGCATGAAGTTCGAACGCCTGGAAGAT